CCAATCCTGTTCGGAGGGAAGGTGCCACAGGCCAAGAGTCCCAGGCACCTTGTCCTCCAGAAGCTTCTTTATGGTCTCATAACTGAGCCCCCTGCCTTGTGCCAACACGATGGACAGTAAGATTTACCAACAGCAGTACAGAAAACAAGATTATCATTAGTGGTATAGTAACTACCGCTTCACAACTGTCTCTTATTATGACAAAGCCTGACCACGTTGACACCTAAATATCACAATAAATGCTTTGGCCTAACCCAGGGGTGTCACACTCAATGGCACAGGGGGCCAAAACTCAAAGCACACTTTAGGTCGCGGGCCGAACAGGATAAACATTTATTGAACTGACTAAAACTAAACATTTTTTGAACATAAATATGAATTGAAACAGACAGGATACAATGTTATTCCAAAATAAATAAACTTGAACTTAAAATCACCAACCCTATTTCTGCTAAGGCTTAGTACATTAACAAACACCTGCTTTTTGTCTGGACACAAGACGTCTCTCACTTTCAACATGCAGCTCTTCAGAAACTCTCCCTCGGTAAATGTCCGGGCTGATTTTCTCCTCTGCCCCAATAACTTTCACAGCAGCTTCACTGTGATTTCACTTTGGTGAAAACGTCTGCTGTGATGTCAGATTCCTCTTCAACTCCTCTACCTTCTGTAGCTTCTGCTCTGCATTCACGTTTTTCAGCTTGTCCTGATGTTTTGTCTCGTAGTGCCGTCTTAGGTTATATTCCTTAATTACAGCCACATTAGCTCCACAAATAAGTAAGTAAATATTGCTACTTTTACTTACTGTAAGTAAGTAAAAGATCTTAGCCAGCTGCAGTTCCACCAGAAATCACACAGACAGTGAATTACTGCTCTGTTCGTTTTTTCTGCAAAGTAATTTGTGGAAAATATTTCTACAGAGACGTATAAGTTGCTAGTGGGTCTGTGAGACTAATAGCAGTGGTCATCTGGCACTTATTAAGATAATTGCAGAGTATTGTAGGTTGCTATTTATAGATTCCAGTGTATCTCTGTCACCACAGTGATACCTGATCTCATGGCAGATGCTACAGCAAGGAAGTACATTTCTGCAGACATGTACATGTTGACAATATATATTAAAAAAAAAAAAATGCAGTCAATTTTTTTATTTTTTTATTTTTTTTTATTATGAAACTGGATGTTTCAGGTAGAAGAGAGTGAGAGAGAGTCTTAACAGGGGAAGGGGCCGTGTGCAGTGGGCACGAGTGGAAAGGAAACCTTCACTGAGAGCCTGGAGATGTTCACAAGCCAGGCCCCAATCTGTCTTGACAAGGGACATTTGTGTACAATATGTGCTCTGTGGGCCTGTGGGTGTGGTCAGACCCTATGTTGCATCCCATTCGCCGTGTAGCAAAATCAGAGACACACATTCAGCACACATACAGTTCAAAGACAGATTAACCAGAGAACTAATAATACACTTGGTAGCAGAATGTCTGTCTTCATGAGTTGTATGTTTTAATGACAAACTCATTATGCTGTCAGGCTCTTGAGCCTGTCTGTGATTTGACACAGTCCAGTCAGCCTCAGTATGACGTGCTGTTTCAGGGATTTGGCTCTGTTTCAAGGGCTGATTTCTCAGAGGCAGCTCAAGATAAAGTTTTAAAGAAACATCTAGATGGTTGAGTTCACAGCAGGTCAGTGCTGTTTATGGCAGACACTGTTTCCTCTGACCACTGGAAACAAGTTCAACTGAATCTCAGATATCTGATTAGCTTTCCAGTAACTGACAGGAAAAGCCAAACTAAACAAGCCAGATTCATGCTGCAGGGGGGAAAACCATCTAAAATTGTTTGAATTATTTTAAAATTTGCAATGAATTGAGCATGATATTACCCAGTGGGTTGTAAGTGGCACAGTATTTGGTGGTTCAGAATAACTAACCAAACAACCATGGTTCAACAGTATGTTGTACTGGGACTCATACTGGGAGAGGTCACATCATAGAGGAGGCAAAGATGCTGATTTCTCTACTCCTAGTAACTATAGCAGAAGCCTAGACTAAGACGATAGCAAAGAAAGAAAAATGAAGTCAACTATTTAGATAAACATATATCCTGGTCTGTGACCTAGTTTGATGCACACACAAGTATGACTCAATGCACATTTTCATTCTGTGCTTTGTTACTGACTAAATATGAAACTGTTGTCATCTCTCTACCCAGGAGTGCATGGTGGATGAGGACTGTGGTGACCAGAAATACTGCCTGTATGAGATTGAGAACTCCAAGTGCCTCCCCTGCATCCCAACAGATATGGTGAGGACTCAGTCAGTGTTGTCTTTTGTGGTTTGTTCAGTAATTTGTTCACTGTTTTCATCTGAATAATGGATCAACTTACTGTTTTTAAAGTGAAAAGAGTCGCTCATATTGACAAACCCACCAAGAATTTCCACTTAACTCAGCGGTTCCCACTAAGTTCTACACTCCACGTTTCTTTCTTTCTTTTTTTTTTACCAGCAGAGAGTTGATGTTACTGTCATAAAGCGACCAGAAACAAAATGATTGCTAATGTTGCTTCATGTCTGGTGAATGTGTACTGTTTGCCTCAGCTTCATAGTGTGATTTATTTTTAACCATCCACGTTTCTTTCTGCTCCCTGCAACTGGCCAAAAACAAGTGAATGCTGCTTTAACATGCAACATGAGTGAAAAATATCAAAAAATGGGTTAGGGCTAGGGTTAAAATATCAGCACATGATTTTCCATCTTATAGTGCTGTGACATGCTAACTACAGTGTAGAGGCTGTTAACCTATATAAAGTAATGTAAACCTGCATTTGTAAGGTTGTAATGTTGAAAGCACTGAGAGGGAACAATGGACAGTTTAGTGGCATATTTACTAAAAGTGTTTTAGGTGCAGGTTGCAATCCACCAGTGTGTTAGGAAGGTTACTTTTGAATTGCAATAGGTTACAGATAAAGGTTTTAGACTGGACAATTAAACTGAAAACTCCTAAACATATGTAGCCTACTGGACGAGCTCTGAGCAAAATATAGAGCTAATTACATCTTAAACACAAAAATAACATGGTGGGGCAGGACGTTCTTTATTTCATGTGAGGGATTGTGGTGACATTAACTCACTGAGTTTCCTTGGGTTTGACATTGAGCATCTAGATGTTGACAACATATTCACCACTGGTAAACTGTACAGTAATATTAGAGCTTTTTCCTGATTTTAGAAGGAGTATATTGTTGAATTTCCATTACTGAAAAGTGTTTTTGTCCAACGATGTGACTATCTGCCTTGGCATTGTTGTTACGTCTGATGCACAGAAGGACCCAAACATGCGAACACACAAGCCGAGGGAAAGTTCAAGTGGAATTTTAATAAATAAAGGACAAGGCTTAAAAGGGAAAAAAATACAAGGGCTCAACCTGACAGAGTGAAACAAAACACTGACTAGCGCCAACAACGAAAACAGTTCAGTCAGGGAGGGAGGAAAAATAAACTTAAGCAAAAACTGAAGAAACAAACTAATAATCCTTAATATAGGTACAGCATCAAACTCACAGAGAAACTGAGTAACAAACAGAAGAAGGATACAGACTTCTAGAAATATGTGAACCGGCAGGGTGTGGTGAACGGAGATAGCCAGCAGAATGAACCAGCAAGAGGGACAGGCGAACACAAAGAGTGGTGACTGTAGGTCAGAGTAAAGCTGGGGCAGGTGAGGTGACACTGGACCAGGAAATCAAACCAAGATAAAAGCATAAAACAGCCACAGGACCTGGCAGGAGGCCGCTCCAGAGGACGGCCTTGGAAATCAGCAGAGGAGTGTACTGAAGGCCGCTCTGCGGTGATGTCCACGGCACCAAACGGGTGGATGAAGGGGGCAGCCAGTCAGGAGGACGTCCATGGCACCAGGCCGGGAGCTGAGGAGACTGCTGGTCAGGTGGACGTACATGGTGCTGGTCAGGTAGTTTGGGAGGACATCCGCGGCACCTAACAGGGAACTGCAGAGGCAGCCGATCAGGAGGACATCCACGGCGCCTGACAGGATGCTGAGAGGGAGCCGGCGGAACGCAGACTGGGAGGACTGAGGAGGTGCCGACTTGCAGGACAGATGAGTGAACCATGGCGATGTGGGCCTCCACAGGACCAGGGATGGAGGTGTCGTTGTCGACCCCCCGGGAAGCAGGAAGTGGGAGGTTGGAACAGTGGTGGCGTCGACCTTGGCAACCGACTGGGGAGCAGGAAGTGAGGTGGTCCAACTGGCGTGCACAGGGACAGGAGAAGAGACCTCGGCTGGTGTGTCCTCGTCGGCACACTGAGGATCCAGGACCTCGGCAGGGACCCTCTCATCGGCACACCTGGGGGTCTCAGTCTCAGTGGGGACGGCTGTACTATCAGGCCGAGGGACAGGGACAGAGACAGTGTTGGCGGTCCAGCCAACACACACAGGATTAGGAGCAGAAACCTCGGCTGGCATGTCCTCGTCGGCACACTGAGGATCCAGGACCTCGGCAGGGACCCTCTCATCGGCACACCTGGGGGTCTCAGTCTCAGTGGGGACGGCTGTACTATCAGGCCGAGGGACAGGGACAGAGACAGTGTTGGCGGTCCAGCCAACACACACAGGATTAGGAGCAGAAACCTCGGCTGGCATGTCCTCGTCGGCACACTGAGGGCCTGGGATCTTGGTGGGGACACTCTCATCGGCACACCTGGGATTCCAGGACCCAAATATGCAGACAGACAAGCCAGGGGAAGGTTCAAGTGGAATTTTAATAAATAATAAAGGGTGAGACTAAAAAGGGAAAAAATGCAAGGGCTCAACCTGACAGTGAAACAAAACATTGAGCGAACCATAATAATTGTCTGCCGGTCACAGCCAGGCACGGTACACCCAGGTTGTTTAGAACAATGCACATTGATTTGACTAGCAGATGAGAGGCGGTGCAGAGTCAGACAAGAGAACAAATAAAAGACAACACTCAAAACTGGAGAGCAAACTGCCAAATGAATGGAGCCTATCCAGACATAGAGTCAGCTCCTGGTACGCCATCTTACACATGATGGTGTGACACTCAGTTTTGCCCCAGTGGCTTTACTGACCTATGCTGTCTGGAAATGTGTTCCTGCACTGCGAAAAGATGCAAAGCAACACAATGAATATTAACAAAAAATATATATTCAGATGTAAAACCTTTGTAATCACTAACACTTTGATTTGTAAGTGTAATTTAATATACTTTTCGCAGTAACTAATTTATTACAACTACATTTATTTTGAATTGCATGTAAGTAGTTATTCCCCATCACCACAATCCAGGTATTAACAAAAGATGTGCAGTGTCAAACAAAAATACAACTCAGGAGCTGGCTTCATAAAGCAAAAACCATGAACTTAGATCCAGTTGAAAAAGTGGCTGAAAAGCAGAAAAGTCCATCAGGTAACAAAAGTCTTTATCCTTAGCTCATGGAGACAGTGGTGCAAAAAATAAGCAAAACTTGAGTAGGATCTGGTTCTGCAAACAAAAAAACTACAGAGGCAAGGCAAACATCTGACTGAGGTCTGCACACTATAAGGCAGCAGCAAATCCAGCAATGAAAGCAAAGTGAAGCTGAAATGCGGTAAAGCATAATCAGCAGATGCAGTCTGGATGAGGAGGGTGGAAGCAGGGCATAGTGGTGGGAAACAGAACAACGGGGAGGCGTGGCAGGATGTAAAAATGAAAAGGGAACAAGGGGACATCTTAAGGTGAGTAGAGAGGAAATAAGTCACCAGAATAAAAGCATAAATGGAATGCGAGTGTCTCAATATAATGTAAAAATACAGTATATAAATAACATCCATCCATCCATTTTCTTCCGCTTATCCGGGACCGGGTCGTGGGGGCAGCAGTCTAAGCAAAAATGCCCAGACTTCCCTCTCTCCAGACACTTCCTCCAGCTCCTCCGGGGGAATG